CTGGTCCTGGAATCTGGAAGAACCTTTGAGGAAGCAAATTAGTTCTTGTTCTCTTTGAAGATTCCCCAAATAATCCTGGGATATTAATGGAGATGGGAATTATTTGAAGTGTCTAAAACTCTGCGGGAAAAAAAGAAAGGTTGCTAGATGCCCACCTGCTCTCTTATGTTTTCTCCACACAGTCCTAAGTAAGAAGGTACGGGACCACCACCCTTGTAGCTTCAAAGACCCAAGCCAAATATAAGATATAAAAGCGTGGCAAGAGAGATAAAGTCGAGGAGAAATAACCTGTTGTTAACAGGGTAAAAAGGCAAGGAAAATACAGGATTAACCAAGGTTCATTTTCAAGTGTCTCCACAATGTTAACACAGACTTTATGGAACAAATGTTTCCTGTGGAAAATTTTGATTCTTCAGAACCAACAAGTCTTTTTTTTTTTTTTTTTTTAATTTTTTATTTAAATTCTAGGTAGTTAACATACAGTGCAACATTGGTTTCAGGAGCAGAATTCATGATTCATCAATTACATATAACATTTAGTGCTCATCACAACAAGTCCCCTCCTTAAAGTCTATCACCCATTTAGGCCCTCCCCCCCAACACCCTATATCAACCCTCAGTTTGTTCTCTATCCTTAAAAGTCTGGTTTGTTTCCCTCTCACTTTTTCTTTTTTCCCTCCTTCCCATATGTTCATCTGTTTTGTTTCTTAAATTCCTCATATGAGTGAAATCATATGGTATTTGTCTTTTTCTGACTTATTTTGCTTAGCATAATACTCTCTAGCTCCATCCACATCATTGTAAATGGCAAGATTTCATTTTTTCTTTTTGATGGCTGAGTGATAGTCCATTGTATATATATATACACCATATTTTCTTTATTCATTCATCAAGCAATGGACATTTGGGCTCTCTCCATAGTTTGGCTATTACTGATAATGCTGCTATAAACATCAGAGTGCATGTGCCCCTTTGAATCAGTATTTTTGTAACCTTTGGGTAAATACCTAGTAGTACAATTGCTGGATTGTAGGGTAGTTCTGTTTTTTAAGTTTTTGAGTAACCTCCATACTCTGTTCTCCAGAGTGGCTACACCAGTCTGCAATCCCACCAACAGTGCAAAAGTGGAACCAACAAGTCTTTGGAAAGAAAGGAAGCCATAAATGACAGTTAAAAATCTTACCACAAAAGGAGGAAATGCTCAAAGTCAAGTTCACAGACGGTCCCTTTGAAACAGCAAGAGAATGTGTATGCCTAGGCTAAAAAAGGATGGGCAATAGAGGTCTTGTGCATTAAAGCTAATCTTAATCAGCCCTAGTAAGTTGTAAAAACTACTTGGTCCTAGTAGTTGTAAAAACACCTTAGATCCAAACCCTGGAAGAAAGGGATGTAGGCCCTTCCCAGTCTACTTCAAGCTGGTAACAAATAAAATAATATTTTAAATAAAAATATATAATATCTAACATATATAGCATTTATTACATGTTACGACTCTAAAGGCTTTATATAGTAACTCATTCAATTATTAAAACAACTGATGAGATGGGTACTAATAAAATCTCCCATTTCACAGAAGAGGAAGTCAAGGGACTAAGTTTCAGTGAATTTACTTATGATCCCTCAGCAGGAGCTGGGATTAGAACCCAGTCAGTATAGCTCCCAAGTCCATAATCATAATCACCACGTGATAATGTCTCTCAGAAAGTTCAGCCTCCAATCCAGAGCTGGACCACATTCTACATTCTCATCCCTCTCTATTCATGTACTTAAAGGTTTTATTACTTATTATAAAATCTTAGGGATGCCTTATTCTGTCAGAACTAAAAGCAGAATATCCATTTTCCCTTCTTTTCCACATCGTCCTAAGGACGCTTAAGCACAAACCACATCCAAGTGTTGGGATGGGCAGCCGTGAAACATGACAGATGGCTTGGCAGATTTTGTTAAATGAAGTGTTGTCTTGATTTGGTGAAATAATAAGGAGAGGTACTTACCACAGGGAACATTAATGTTTATATGGGTGAGACAGGGGGTGGAAGGTGAAACAGAATAATAATCTAACTAAAAACCAAAATAAGTCTACTAGTATAATTGCACCTATATTTCAAAGGCCTATCTCAAATATCACATCCTCCCAGCCAGACTTCAACTTCAAAGAAATTAAATATTTTATCACTGTCTTTTGGTATCCAAATTATTCTACTTTATACTATAGGTATCTAGAATTTATACTCAAAGCAACTTGCAAGGGAAACATTCTTATTTGCACAAAGCATTCATTTGTCTGTTTAGGTCATTTGAGTGAAAAGGGAAACTGCTGTGGAATTGTAAACTGTGAAAAAGAGCTCAATGTATCATCTATGCCTTTAACGTAGTCCAAGGCAAAATTAAAGCAAAATATTAATTTAAGTCTCTGAATTAAAGCCTTGAAATAAATTTTTCATTTTTCATACATTTAAATACATTCAAGGCTGTGGTGTCTGGGTGGCTCAGTCGGTTAAACATCTGACTTCAGCTCAAGTCATGATCTCACGGCTTGTGAGTTGGAGCCTTGGTCAGGCTCTCTGCTGACAGCTCAGAACCTGGAACCTGCTTCAGATTCTGTGTCTCCCTCTCTCTTTCTGCCCCACCCCTGCTGGCACTCTAAAATGAATAAATGCTAAAAATTTTTAAAAATAAATACATTAAGGTTTATCAGTTTATCTTCTTTGATAACTTTCTGTTGAGAACAAGCACAGTTTATATTTTAATTTTAATATGGAATAACTATTCATTTAAGGGAAAAAGAACCATCCATCTTTCTCAGTAGTTTGTGAGGACAGGAGTCCATTTAGTTCTAGCTAGTTCTCCAAATCCACAACCCCCACTGAACGCATAGTAGGCCTTCAATAAATATTCCCTACTATCTAACCATAGTTGGAATGTTACTACTGGTCCAAAGAAATCTGAAGAGACATAAATTAAATTGTTACTCTCGATCCTGGGGTGCCTGGGTGGTTCAGTAGGTTAAAGCATACAACTCTTGATTTTGGCTCAGGTCATGATCTCAGGGTTTGTGAGACCAAGCCCTGCATCAGGATCTGTGCTGACAGCAAGGAGCCTGCTTGGGATTCTTTCTCTCCCTCTCTCTGCCCCCTTCCATGCTAACACTCTCTCTCTCTCACTCTCTCTCTAAATTAATAAAAAAAAATAAATAACAAATGCTACTTTTGATCCAAAGAAATCTAAAAGTAATAATATCACTATGTATCAATGAAAACCTCAGTTCAATCCATTTAACTCTATTCATGTTACCTAATAAATTAAACTGAATGTTGTATATGCCTGTAATTTTTAAGTTGGAGAGAGGGTGTAAAGGAGTTAGGTTACTCAAAACCTTGTAAGATGATACCAAGTGTTTTCTGTTTATCTGTATATAGGTATGTTATCTGTCTGTATGGCATGTGTATAATCACTTTCCACAAAAGTTCAAATATTAACTTGAATTCCACCTACTAATTTATCTCTCAAGAGAATCATGAGACAGCCACTGAGAAAGACAGTGAGGGAGAGAGTCTGAGAGAGTGAGATGAGAGAGAAGAAAGAAGAGAGACAAAAAGAAAAACAAAAGAGAAAGGAAAAGGCATATATAAATTGAAACAGAGGAAGTAAGGGAGGGAAAGGAGGAGGGGGAAGAAGAAGGAGGGCAGGGAAGGAAAAAAGGAGAGCCACATCAAAAAGAGAAATGAAACAAAAATGGTTTAAAGAAAACCTTTTCTTGATTGAAATCTGCAGTAAAATCCAGATGCTTACTGAAAGGGAAAACCCTCATCTTAGATGGGTGAATGGCTGAGGTTTGCTATCAAAGGGAATCAGTATTTTACCTGGCAATTTCCATGCTAAATGCCACCGTCATTTTCGGTGTTATTTCACTGTCATCTTCCTACAGTAAATAAAAAAGAGTATAATACATGTTTTCTCCCCTGAGGTTTATAAATAGGATCTCAATATAGTCCCAACTATAACAAGTCATCCAGCAAATTCTTGGCAAAGTAAATCAAAGAACATATGTTTACCCAAGGTGAATGGCAGCCACTGGACTGTATGTTAACTACATTTGGTTTCAGATAGCTCCATCACACATGCTCTAAATCTGCCCAATAATTCATCCACAGTCATGCATGTTACCATAAGCCTACGAATAAAATCTGAAAGGTTCACTGTGAAAATTTTTCCTGTCAATTCTCATTTCTTTTTTTTATTGTTTATTTTTGAGAGAGAAAGATTACACCATGATTCACATGTGTTTCCTTAGCAAATTCAAAGCCTACATATGTACAAAGTTTTAGAAAAGAACGCTAGAATAAAATAGAAATCTGTGAACATACACATCTTATCCTGAACTTCTAAAATATTCACATCTATTATCAATCACTATTTTGTATTTAATCAAATGCATATCTCATCTATACTGCTATAGAATGTTATGAATTCCAAAGCTGATTTTGTTGTCTCCTTGAAAATCTGATAGGGAAAAGCATGCTGATTGTTATCAATAATAAAGCCAAGTAGAAATAATTCAGATATTCTGCAATTACTTACATTTCCATAGACAACCTAAGTGGCTCTGTAACTAGGGACTGAATATAGTCAGAACTGCTTCCATTATACCATGTAAATGTTTTTTTTTTCTTTTCTATAGTGAATATACCTTTGTGATCTTTCTCAAGTTCTGACAGTACACTTGCAAATGAATCAAAAACTTCCCACTATGAATCACCAATTATTCCAAATCTACTTATTATCTCAGTATTATTGATTATAATGTGAACTTTTAGCATTAATTCATTAAAGGGTACTTGAAGTCTGACACATCAAGGATGAGGCCCAACAGAAATATCACCAAAACCAAAAGCAAAACCCAAATACTTAAGTGGTCCTTAGCCTATCTATTTTATATTTAAAAATAAGCAGAAAGATACATACAAGCATATTTTAAAAACCAATATTTCAATACTTACTTTCAGTAGATCCTTGGAGAAATCACCACCTTCATTTACCCCTTGGAGGTTTGCAATGAACTCTTGGCAGGTCATCTTCTTTCCAATATTCTGGAATAGAGGCAAATAATACATCATCATGACACACATGGAATTCTTAAAAACATGATTAAGCAAAGCAAGATTAATTTGGTTTTTCAAACCATGAATACACACCCCTCATATATGTGTATATATCCATACATACATATAATACAAACTTATATGCATATGAGAAACAGATGGCTTATTATGCTTTCAAAAGAGTCATTAAATATAAATAGCAGAATTATGCCAAACCTTTACTTTAACCTAAGAAAAAAATCCGAGAAATTTATGCCACATTTATACATATGATATATATGTTAGTTTTTAAAGAAAAACGTGGATAAAATGACATTTCTGAGCTGAACTCTGGTAGCTATTTATTTGCTTATTTGTATTTCCTACATATTGTCAAGAACTGTGAAGGCTCTGAGATTTTAGCCACTTTCACGCTAACAAACTAGTCTATCACTATCTCACGTTACCAGATGAAGTAATAAGTGTCCTGAGTCAGAGGCACAGGCATTTATCACAACAACAGGAGTAACCAAAATGACAGCATTTTCTTGCTCCAGTTTCCAGAGTCCCAATGCTCAGAGAACCTGAGCGGGGACAGCTGATATGCACACGTGGTGGGTTGTGATACAGGAAAGGAGCCCTGAGATGTGGGAATCTGAATAACTGTAATGGGCAATAAGCCTATCACTTTTGCTCTAAAGGAACGAACCAACTTGTATCATCCAAGGCTATAATAAACAAACTTATGCATTGCTCTCTAGTCATTATATATTCCAAAGCTGCTCACTATGGAAAAAAATGTGTAAAAGTAGACGAGAACAAAGGCAACCAAAGCTTCTGTTCACAAAATGTACAGAAATGCAAGAGACTCGTGGAAAATTATTTCCAAACACGTTTCCAAACTGATTGAAGGATAAGCTCAATAATAAAAAAAAATCACATTAATAAACAAAATGAAAAAAAGTAAAATGTAATTAGGATATCTAAACTACAAAAAAAGAAGATACAAATATGTCAGAGTGAGGAAACTAATAAAGGTGGTATGAAAGAGAAGTGTCTCTTATGCCAGCTCTAGTCAACTAGTAAGAGCCACCAGTCGTGAAGGATTCAGAGGTTCAATCTGGACACCAAGAGAAATCTGTCCACAACAGGCACAGGCAAAATATGGTCTTTGCCAAAATGTGGTCCAAGTGAACAGGAAGTGTACCAGCATATCAATATCCTTGTACACAATATGCATACAAATAAAATGTATGTTCCACAAGGTTATTTTTCATGAAAGACTAAGAGTGGGGTAGAACATTAGCCTTCAAGTTGAGGAAAAATATTCCAGGAAACAAAGATTTTAAGAGGGATACAAAGCCAAGGATACGTTTAAGAGATTATGTACACAACACTTTAACTTCAAAAGTACAGATATGCCTGGGAACATATACACCTGTGTATCTTAAAAGTAATCACTTCCACTTCCCCTTTCACAACTGCTCTTCTACTTTAAGACACGAAACAAATAGCCCAACCCATCCTATCTAATTAATTTTAGTGAAAGTGCTAAATAACTTTTGTTAAAAACCTTGCCTTAATTTTAGTGAAAGTGCTAAATAACTTTTGTTAAAAACCTTGCCTCTTCCATTAGCAAAGAGGGCATAGTCAGAATGCATATGAAAGATTGAGTGAATATTTTAACAATGAAAAATGGTTTTGCCAGTGAATTTGGTAGATATTTCCATAATTTAAGTAAGTTAAATCTCTAGCCCTAAGTTTTGATGAAAACTTAAAGCACAGAAACTTTAATAAAAAATAGTTTCACAACACTATACTGAAAAACACAATAACTCAACCTTCCCAGTCTTTATCAAAGATATCAGAACAAGGTAAAAAGTAACAAGTATATTTAATAGTAATGTTGATATGACTTGACATGGCGTTTTTGGTTATGTTCTGAGGATTTGAGAAAATGAATGAATAATGTCTTTTCCAAGTCAGACAGCTTCCAATTCTTTGCTTTTAACCAAACCAAAAGAGGGCATAATTTAATCATTAGTTAAAAACCAAAATGTTCTTTAATATATGATGTGAATTCAAATACTTGTAACATCATTTTTATTCAATTTTGTATTGTTAATAACAAAATTTTCTTGAAGAACAATTTATATTTAAATACTTGTAGTATTATAGTCATCAAAGGTATCAAAATAGATATGAAACTTTCATTTCAGTTTATACAGTTTTTGTTAAAAATATATATCAAACAATAATCAATAAAAGTCTCCCAAGTATAAAAACCTATTAACACACACATACAAAAAAAAAAAAAAACTATGGAAAAGTAAACAATTACAACTAGTAGGAGAAAAAGTAAAATAAAGAGAGTTAATTTTTTAATATGATGAAGGAGGAGTGTCAGCTCACTGAAACTTTCTTAAAATACTAGCTTTACTGAAATGATATTCACATAATATTCATCCTTTTGAATTATATAATTCAGTGATTCATAATACACATATAGAGTTGTACAGCCATCACCATTATCTAAATTCAGAATACTTTTATCACCCTAAAAGATAATCATATCCATTAGCAGTCAGTACTCATATCTCTCCTCCCATCCCCAATACTCATCTCCTGGCAACCACTAATGATCTTTTTATTTGTATGGATTTGCCTATGCAAGAGCACTTCACATAAGTGGAATCATATAAAGTGTGGCCTTTTTTTGACTGGCTTCTTTCATCTACCATATTATTTTCAAGGTATGTCCATATTTTAGCATGTATCAATATTTATTTTTATTGGCAACATTCCATTGTATTAATATACCAAATTTTGTGTACCCATTTATAAGCTGATGGCTATTTGGACTGTTTCCACATTTTGGTTATTATCAACAATGTTACTGTAAATATTTGTGTAAAGTTTTTGCATAGACGTATGTTTTCATTCCTCCTATGTATTTAATTCAGGAGTGGGACTGCTATGTCATATGGTAACTCTGCGTTTAATCATTTGAAGAACTATCAGAATTATTTTTCCAAACAGGCCACACCAGTTTACATCCCCACTAGAAGTGTGAGTTCCAATTTCTCTACATTCTTACCAACATTTATCTGTCCATTTTATTTTAGCCAGTTCTAGCAGATATGAATTGCAATCTTGTGGTTCTGATTTGTAATTCCCTACTGACTAATGATGTTCAGCATCTTTCATCCACATATTGACCATTTGTATATATTCTTTGAATAAATGCCTACTCAAATCCTTTGCCCTTTTGTTATTGAGTCATTTATCTTTATTGTTGAGTTGTAGGAGTTATTTATATATTCTGGATATAAAACTCCTTATCAGATATATACTTCGCAAATATTTTCTCCCATTCGGTAGGTTGTCTTTTCTTGATGGTGTTGTCTGAAGCACAAAAAGTTTTGATCTATATGAAACCCAACTTATCAGAGTTTTTTATTCTTTTACTACTTGTGTTTTTATTGTCGAATGTAACAAATTATTACCTAATCCAAGGTCAGAAATATTTACTCTATGTTTTCCAAAAATTTTATACCTTTAGATCCTGGCATCCTTGTTGAAAATCAACTGACCATAAAAATAAGGGTTTTCTTATGAATTCTCAATTCTACTGTAATCTGGATGTATGACTGGATGCCAGTATAATACGCTCTTGATTCTTATAGCTTTGTAGTAAGTTATTTATGTCATTGCACTTTATTGTGGCTAAAAATCACATAGCAAAAAATTTACCATCATAACCATACTTAAGTGTAAAATTCAGCAGTGTTAAGTATATTCACATGGCTATAAAACAGATTTCCAAAAGTATTGCATATAGCAAATCTTAAACTCTATACCCATTAAAAAACAACTCCACTGGGGGCACCTGGGTGGCTTAGTCGGTTAGGCATCCGACTTCGGCTCAGGTCATGATCTCGTGCTCTGTGAGTTCGAGCCCTGCATAGGGCTCTGTGCTGAAAGCTCAGAGCCTGGAGCCTGTTTCAGATTGTGTCTCCCTCTCTCTCTGACCCTTCCCTGTTTATGCTCTCTCTCTCTCTCTCTCTCTCTCTCTCTCAAAAATAAATGTTAAAAAAATTAAAACGAAACAACCCTTCTTTCCCCACCCCCTGAGCCTATAGTAACAATCATTCTACTTTCTTTTTGTTTCTATGAATTTGACTGCTTTAGATGGCTCACATAAAGGGAATCATAGAGTACTTTCTTGTATATATGTATGCATGTATGTATATACATGCCAAATGCATATATGTGTGTGTGTGTGTATACACACACACACACACAGAGATACGTGTTTCAAGTGTACAGGTGTATAACTTGACATCTGCATACACTACCACATGATCACACCACAAGTCCAATTATCATCTATCACCATACAGCTGACCCCCTTTACCCATTTCACCCACACCCTAACCCTCTTAAATTCTAGTAACCAAAACTGTGTTTTGTGTACCTATGAGTTTGTTTTCTTTAGTTTGTTCACTTATTTTTTTACTTTCCATATATGAGGGAAATCACACAATATTTGTCTTTTTCCATATGACTTATTTTACTTAGGATAATATTCTCAAAGTCCAATAATGTCACAAATGGCAAGATTTAATTCTTTTTATGACTAATATTCCATTGAATATACTATATATTCTTATTTATTTATTTATTCATTCATTTATTTTTAATTTACATCCAAGTTAGTTAGCATAGAGTGCAATAATGATTTCAGGAGTAGATTCCAGTGATTCATCCCCTATGTATAACACCCAGTGCTCATTTCAGCAAGTGTTTTCCTTAATACCCCTTACCCATTTAGCCCATCCCCCCACCCACAGCCCTTCTAGCAACCCTCAGTTTGTTCTCTGTATTTAAGAGTCTCTTATGTTTTGTCCCCCTCTCTGTTTTTATATTATTTTTGCTTCCCTTCCATTATGTTCACCTGTTTTGTATCTTAAATTCGACATATGAGTGAAGTCATATGATATTTGTCT